TTTTCATTTTCTTTTTCATTTCTAACTTTTAATTTTGTAATTTTAAAATTTCAATAAAATACTATTATAAATTCCATACATCTCATGTGTGCCCAGATCACCTACCTTCCCATCAGCCTCTTTCACAGCCTCTGCCAATGTGTAAGACAAAGGGCTAAGATTCTTCCCCACAGATGTCTTGGGGCTCACCCTGATTGGGAGAACAAAGCGCCGTGGAAATGACTTCGGGAGTAAGTTGTAGGTCTGCCAGGATAACAAACATATAATTGGATAGAGAGAAAAAAGCGCACTCTGCAGACGTCCCATGGGGATGAGGAGCAAGAACCAAGAGTAGAGATGACTTCTCTGCCTCCCTGTCTGGGTTCCTTCCCCTCAGAATGCCACCTGTGTCTAGGACTGGAGAGCGACCGTCCCAATGTCCCTGGAAGATACCAAGCCACGGAAAGCTGGTCTAGAGCATGATGCTCCCTTTCAGTGCCCACACTGTGGGGTGCAGAGCAGCAGTACCTGGTCGAGGGCTTCCCCCACTTTGTGGAGATTCTGTAGGCGGTAAATGTCGATAACACTTCCATCATCATAACAGCAAAGATCCAGGACAATGCATCCCTGGTCCTCAAAGGCATTGATTTGATGGAAAAAGCAGAAGGCCTTGGTACAATACTGCAAGGGTAAGATCTGCAACAAGAGCCGAAGACACAGGAGTGTGAATTCCTGCCTTTTGGTGACACCCAAAGAATGCTCCTTGGAACAGCTTCTTAAAGTCCTTCATTTATGTATAAGGGCGATGCTTGAAAGGATTTAAACAGATGGACAAAGCAAAGAAGTGAGCCCTTGTGTAATCTTTCCTAATCTGATGCCCCCCAAAGATCTCAGGACTGCAACTCCCACAATTCTCAGCCACTCTGGGCAACAGAGGAATTCTGGGAGCTGCTGCCCCAGCATAATCTGGGGAAACGCTGGTTTGCTCTGTTGTTTCCTTCTGACACCCAGGATGATAGCAGTGAGAATCTAGCCTACCCGGCCCTGCCAACCCCAGAGCAGGCATTGCAGGGAGTCCTCAGATCCAGCCAAGCAGGAGACTCACCTGCCCCGTGTGCTTGTTCATGACATGAAAGCGGGTGTTGTGCTGAGGCTCCCAATTCATTGCATCCAGAAAGGATCCCCCCACAAAATTGGCTATAATCATCTTCCACAAGTTTATTTTCAAGGGCTGCTCAATAAAAATCACGTAGTTTTCACTCATTCCTAGAAACAGAAGAAAAGATTTGGCCACTTCTTTTCATTAAGACCCCATTTCTTTTTTTCCATCTAATTAACTGTGCTTCTCTAACAACAGGGTTGGCTTATCTTTCTGCCTGCTGGCTTCATCCTTTGTTGCCAAAACAATTTCAGATTATCCAATGCAATGGCCAGTAATTTCAAATTATCTAATTTAACACTCTGTGAATCAAATTTATTCCCTTGGGGGGCTTACACACCACATACTTAGGAACTGCCATGCTTCATTTACACAATCCCCCTTCTAGCTTCCAATGGAAGGCCAATGAGCAGGTACAGCTAGGAGCCAGCAATTTTTGTTCAACTTCAGAGTCTTACTGACATTGTTTTTAAAGCACATCTCAGGTTATGATTTCAATTTCAATTTATTATGGCCATCAGCTAGCAAAAGATATTACATCATTTTATATGAACTGCTCTGATGGATCATGCATGTCTTGGAGCAATGAATTTCATTAATTTAATGTTTCATATTACTTTTCCTATTCTACTTGACTTTATTCATGCAGCATGATAGATCACATCTATGGCATTCCAAATCATTGACCCGCTTTTCATAATGTCACGTTTACAACTCCTGCTGCATCTTTCTGGCATTTCCATCAAAGATGGAGATGACCCACTTAAAAGGAGGATGGTCCTCACCAAAACTGTGATAATAGGATGGCTTCATTCTGTCCTTTGGCTCAATGGTGCACAGCACTTCTGCCCCTTGCAGGCTGGAGTCACTAGGGTGAGACTTCTGCGGAGGAACACGGATGATGTTATAGTTGGAGCCTGGAAGAGAGAAAGCCCACCTGTTTGGAAGTGTGATTCCAACAAATCAGCTGCAGATGGACTGGGGAATTAGCTCACCCCTGACAGATGTGCCTTATGTTTTTAAAAAAGTGATCCATTGCTATAAACAACGCTTTCTATTAACAATAACTGAGGTTGGAATTTAAGTGCGGGCAGCACCTGGCCCATCAACAGTTTAGAATGGGAGACCACCACCAGATGCACCATGAGAGAACTCCACAGCTGCTCCATCTTTGCTCCAGTGCAAAATTCAGACATATGAATCCACCAGGTGCTGCTTCACGTTTTCCAGGTCCTCTGATCCAGTGGAAGGGGCTATAGCCACTGACTAAGAACTTAGACACTTACTCATCGGAAAAATGTTTATATCATCTTTGAATTGCCTGAGTTTTCTGGGTGCGTCTGAAGAACACTGTTAAGTAACTCTGTCGATTTAGAGCAGAAAGCCAAGAAGGGCCTGGGTTGATAGAAATGGAGGCACTACTGACTGACAAAACCAAAACCATCCACTGAGGTTAGCATCTAATCCCAAACATGAAGAAGCAAGTCAGATACTTCTGCTTGTCTCTGAGAATCCGGTCTCACCGTGCTTCCCGTAAGAGTTGCCCATGTTGTACACTGTTCCATCTGGGTCGTAGTGTGGGTGGGCTGTGGCTCCATTCACTGCAATGTATTTTCTCCAATTCACCTGCAAGGGCAAAGATGGTAAGTCATCTTATCTCAGTCTGACACCCTCCAGACAGAACTGCAGCTCTCAGAATTCCCGCACCAGCTGAGAGGTGTAACCACCACATCTGGACAGAACCAGGTTGGGAAAGCTGCTCTCATCTACTGATTTTGAAACATTTTCCAGGGAATCCTGAAGTGGCACCAACTTGGGAAAAAGCTGTACTGGAACAGGTTAACATCCTTGCTAATTTTCTATTTTGCACAATTTACACCTTTTTTTAAAGTGAGTATTCCCATCTCCAGTATAACATGGTTCAGATGGCCCTTCTTCTGAAGCTAAAGAGTGTTTTGTGTGGTGGCCATGCACAAGCAGAATGAGGGCAACCGCACTTTCCCACTTGGGTTCCCCAGCAACTGCTACCCATGAACCTGGAGGGAACAAGACACAGTGGTAGACCTGTAGAAGACCCAGATTAAATCTGCAGCATCTCCAGAGCTCCTGGAAAGCTGCTGTCTCTCCATCCAGATTTAGACAGTAGTGGATGAGAAGGGGAAACAGGCTAACCCAATGCTAGGTAACACTCTCCGTTCCTTTACCTTCTCCTTTGTTTCAAGCGTGTCCAGATCCACCTTGTGCATTAGGCTGGTCTCCGTGCTGACAAAATAGTCACCTTTGAAGACCACATAATTCACGGAGCAGTTGTCTGTCTCTTCTGCAGTATAAAATTCACCTCATTGGAGTGTCATAAATTCAGTATACAAAACATTTCCATTGCCACAAGGTTGCCAGGATCAAAAGAATGAAAGCGGCATAATATCTTAAAGGTAATTTCTGAGTCAGAGTTAAATGTGCCAGGGATGGAGCTGGAAGACAAACTGAAGGTGGGATTTCTGTCACCCAAAGCTTTGTCCAGAAGTTTTCCCACTTCCCCTCCATTTCTTACAAGAGAAATTTGGTGGAGTGTCTTTCAGCATTTCCCTTACAGAATGCATTAACTTCAGATGCAGAATATGAGTGGAACTGATTCAAGAAAGATGCTTACCTGGCCATTCAAACCTTGACCTGAAGCGCTCAAAAATGGTCTTGCAAGGATCTGGCATGGCCAAGGTGCCAAATTCAGAGATCATGATCCGACTGTTCTTGCTGTTGGTCAGGTAAGAATTGCTCCTGAGAAACTTGCTGCTGTACTTCACCAACCCATCCTCAATTTCAAACTGATGCAACAGTGCCATGCCATCAAACCAGTGGTTGTACCTTCATTTGGAGAAGATAAATCCAGATTAAAGGAGGAGAAACCTTGTGCAAAGCTTACCCTGCCATTTCTAAGCACCCACTCAGTTCATTAGACGGCAAAAAAAAAAAGCCCATTTCTGCACACAAAGTGTACAACAAATTTTAAAGACTGTGGTTCTTCCAAAGGTCTCATTTTTAAATTGTTAAAAAAGTATTTCTAAAAAAGGCAACCCCCTCCCCCCCAATAAAAGTTGATTACTAGATCAGTCTTCCCCAAGCCCTTGGTTGTCATTATGTCTCCATTTAGTCAAGTAAATCTGCATTAGCACTCAAGGATCTTTCCTTTCTAAGGCACAACTGACTGGCAGAATGACTGAAGGACATGTATGAATGAGGTTGATAAAGACTGCAGCCCAGAAAAAAATATCTACAGTATTGGCTTTTTAATCCTCAGCAGAGCAGGGAGCCACATCCAGAGCAGGCGTACTTATCTGATCCGAACTCAAATTTCCCTGGTCCGTTCCTCAGTAGCTTTCCTTTCAGCCATCTGGGAATCTGCCCTTCAAGTTTTCTTGGGATCACCTGAGGTGTTTCTTCTACGGTGGAGAATAACGGCGAGACGCATTCTAAGCCCTTCCGGTGGCTAAAAGTAACTGGAGGTTTCTGGTTGCAAACCACAGTTCTTATAACTGCGAAGGCAGAACAAGCAATGAGCGAAGAGAAAGGAATTAACACCCTGGGTACGATCCTAAAGCTACCGTTTCATATTACGCAGTTAGGTAAACCGCATGTTAAGGAATTGGCTGAGTAAAAGAAAAGCGGATGCTTTCGATCAAGGTTCCTGAGGTAGACTTCCCTGAAATATTTTCAGAATTAACAGTCTGCAGGTTAAGCATGCCCTGTGGAACAGATTTCAGAGTGCGCTAAACTGCACTGCATTAAAAACAGCAAGGATGTCTCAAAACTAGAAAAGCAGAACTTCCTATATATTAATTGAAGCTACCAAAGTATAAGGGGAGAGCTGAAATACAGGAAACATGGTAATCCATGTATTAGCAATGCTGGAGATTAATTTTAGATTATGCACTAGGTACCCAATGGTGTATCAGAAGACCCCCGTTATGTGGTCTCTGAAGCTTCCATCCACAGCACCCTGCCCAAGAAGAGGCTGGTGGCAATTCTCTTTCTTAAGGACAGTGTTGTCCAAACTTGGCCCCTTTAAGATGAGTGGACTTCAACTCCCAGAATTCCCCAGCCAGCATG